TTGCATTTCGGTGTTGTGGAAGCTCCACATACACACACAGTTAGACGTGCACACACACAGCGCTGCACTCCTCCGCTGGCTCAACTGAAAGCATCTCTTCTCTATAACGCCTCTGTTACTACCGCTGAAGACGGTACAGAGGGGTGATCTCTTCGTCCCCCATGACGCCTCCACAACATTCAGATGGAGGACAAACGTCACAGAGGAAGATTTTTCAAAAGCATCTCCAATATTGATCCGAGTTTGAGCACTTTTCTGCTTGAGGAGCTTATTAGAAACATGCAGAGGCTTTTTAGGTCGGGTACAATCACTTCTATCTGAACCTCTTCTCTTGTTTGACCTGATAACTGCTCTCATATCTGGCAAACCGAGGGGTGTCCAAAACAGGACCAGAATCTAAAGTTAGAAGGAGGACATACTGGCTGCTGCATTGTTGAGAAGCCAGCTGCTGCAAGAATCCACCTGTGTTCCAAAAACAAGCACTGGTGTCTGCAGGTTTTACTTTACAACATGCGGCCACCAGGATCCTGCATTTACGCAAAATCTTCCAGGTCAAATGACCCTGAAGATGACAAGAAGCAGAAGGGAGGCGAAACAAGGAGCCGAGGCGAGTGAAGTGTGGACGAGGAAGAGGACGACAGGGTGAGGACGAGGCCGGGGACAAACAGTGAACTCACAGAAGATTGATGGGAAACAACAAATAAATAAATCAAAAAGAGAGTGATAGAAACCCTGAAGGACAATGTAGAGATGCTCTGTGTGTCTGTGTTGTGTTTCTATCTTTGTGAGGACCGGTTAGACTTTGTTTTGGAGCGTGGATTCTTCTGGAGGAAGAACAAGCAAATTGTTCTATTGTTTTAAATGACCCGGTATTTGTATTATGTTTTAGTAAACCTCAGTGACTTTTTACTAGTTCCACTTTTCTCCTCCCTGTTTTATTTGTGAAGCTACCACCAAGAAATCAAGAAGAAATCACCGAAAAGTCTGCGCCCCCTCAAAGTGTTGATTTCGGAAGATGTGACCCGCCTGACACTCGGTGTACGGAGCCAGGTGGCCCTGACTCGCCGCTGGTCGAGTACTTTGAGCTGATGTGAACCCGGGCGACCTCGTCTATGTTTGTGTCCAATCAGATCGTTACCGGCTGTGACTGTGTCTGCAGCGTCTTCTTAAAAAGAACACATTAATGACTCTCCTTTTACACAAATAATGCACACACACACACACACACACACACACACACACACACACACACTCACTCACAGTCTCCTGCTGAGCCACCTGAAGGGCACCGTCTAATACAAAGTGTGATTGACAGCTGATATTTGGGAGGATGAGTCAGAGGCGAGAATCTGAAGTCAACATCCAGGAGGAGACACGGTGAAACACACACAAACACACACACACACACACACACACACACACACACACACACACACACACACACACACACTCACAGACACACACATGTACACACACACACACACACACACACACACACACACTGCAGCATAGAGACACACGGGTTTATTATTTTCTTTATTGTAATCTTGAAACAAGATTTCCAAGGTAAAAAAAAAAGTGTTTAATGTTTTTTCTTTATTTAGGATATTTTTCAGGGCGGCCATTTTTCTCTGACATCACAGGCTTTACAGGACGCCAATGTGAGTTTAAGGAGAGGGGATGTTTTTTCTTTATTTAGGATATTTTTCAGGGCGGCCATTTTTCTCTGACATCACAGGCTTTACAGGACGCCAATGTGAGTTTAAGGAGAGGGGATCTGATCAATTATTTAAATCCTTAACATTTTATAATACTTGGATTCTGCTTTAGAAGCTTATTGTCAAAAAAAAACTGTATTCATAAAAAAGAATGATTCAGTAACACTTTACAATAAGAGTACATTAATTAACATTAGTTAAGGCATTATTAAGCCTTAACTAATGGTTACTAACAGTTAACTAATGTGTCTAGTAATAATTTATTGAGGGTGTTCATGTTAACTACGGTATTAATTAATACATTATTTAATCCTTATTAAGGATGCTATTAACATTAGTTAATGCAGTAATAAGCCTTAACTAACCGTAAATTCATACAACAATGAACATTAAGAAACCCTTAACAGATGTCTCTTGTTAACATTAATTAAGGGTTTACATGTTAATTAAGCCTATTAACTAATATTATTAAATGCTTGATAAAGATGTTAATTTAGATGCATGTCTTGAGGTTCACAGCTAAGTCATGTCATTAGACAAAAGTGTTTGTTTTTATTCATGTTTATTTAAGGTTAATGACTGTTCACTTACTTGTCTATCCTCCAACTGGTTACTTATTTTTGGTAAAGGTTGAGATCAGTGGACCATGGATCATGTTTCCTTTTTGTCCCGAGCCATTAAAAGTGAAAGTTCAAAGTTCACTCACTTTGTGTCATTTACATCCAAGAATCATCATCCTCAGTGACAGTGGCGGGCCTAAAGAGGTGTACGGACCAATTATGGATACAGACACTTTTATATCAACCACCATTGGTGGTTTATTAACCCAGTGAAAGGCAGCCACACACAACCTGGAGAGAGCAGTGGCCTTACAGAATAAGAACAAGAATAATGATAGGTTACGCTGTAAGTTAAGAACGTCTACATGAAGACCATAGTGTGGTCCACTGATCTCAACCTTTACCAAAAATAAGTAACCAGTTGGAGGATGGACAAGTAAGTGAACAGTCATTAACCTTAAATAAACATGAATAAAAACAAACACTTTTGTCTTAATGACATGACTTAGCTGTGAACCTCAAGACATGCATCTAAATTAACATCTTTATCAAGCATTTAGTAATATTAGTTAGTAGGCTTAATTAACATGTAAACCCTTAATTAATGTTAACAAGAGACATATGTTAAGGGTTTCTTAATGTTCATTATTGTATGAATTTACTGTTAGTTAAGGCTTATTACTGCATTAACTAATGTTAATAGCATCTTTAATAAGGGTTAAATAATGTATTAATTAATACCGTAGTTAACATGAACACCCTTCATAAATGATTACTAGACACATTAGTTAACTGTTAGTAACCATTAGTTAAGGCTTAATAATGCCTTAACCAATGTTAATTAATGTACCCTTATTGTAAAGTGTTACAAATGATTCATTATTTCAGGTAGAGTGCCTTTCATTTGTCAACATTCAGTCCAGCAGTCTCAGAGGTCAGTTGGTCCTGATGGTGGTGAACTTCTCTCAAGGACTCTTCGCTGACCTTGACAAGCGTCAGCGTGCTGCTGCCGCCGAAGGACCAAGTGAATGATAAAACTGATAGGCCAAAAAGAAAAACAGAAACGTGTGAAAAATTCAGTTTTTTAAATTAAATGTTCTCATCGTGCCGGGTCGCAGCAATGTTTGGCTTCAGGCGAAAACATAATCATGTTGAGAGCGATTGCTGAGGATGAATTTAATCTGTTTTTTTGGTGGGTGGGTGGGGGGTGGGAGAGGGGGCGGTGGGTGGTGGGCGATTTGAAACGGTTTAAATTAAGAAGCAGCTGCAGAGACAAGCAGGACAAAAGCTTTGATGCTCTGTGTGTGTGTGTGTGTGTGTGTGTGTGTGTGTGTGTGTGTGTGTGTGTGTGTGTTAATAAAACATATAAAGTCTGCTGTATGGACACAGAGAGGAGGATGAAGATCGCTGAGCAAAGTGATGAAGAGGAGACGAAACTGAAGGAGGACAGAAATGATAACAAACAAAGACAGTCTTCTTTAAACACAGAAGGTCATCTTTTTAATCTGTTTTTCCTGCTTTACTTCCCTTCTGTAGTCAGTGGACTTTTTCTTTTGGTGTTGCTGTAAATTTAAGGACACATAGCTGCAAAAATGATACTCAAACAGGTTGCTAGGAGATGACCCGCTTCGACATCTGTCTTCCAACTCAGCATTTAACTTATTTTTGATCGGAAAGACGTCAGGGTCGAGAGGAGTTCCTCTGAGGTGGAAATTGTCTTTTTGTCTGTGCAGCATTTACAAAAAGAGCTCTGCAGACCTGGAAATATTTATGCATTCTTTTGTAAGCCTCACTTTCGGCCATCACTCTGCAACTCTGTGGCAGAAACCCTCATCCACGCCTTCATAACCTCCCGTCTGGTCTATTGTAAGTCCTCACCCACATCAAGCCCGGCAGAACATCACCTGACCTGTCATCCACCTCCACTGGCTCCCAGATTTCCTTGAAATAACAAAAACTCCTCCTCAGTTATAAATCCCTTCGCGTCCTCACCCCTCAGTACCTCTCCGACCTTTACACCCACACACCACACCCTGAAACCTCCAGTCCTCAGATGCTGGCCTGCTGTCCATATCACTTAAGTAGAAAATAGCTGCATTCTCAGAAAAGAAAGCATCACTGTCACAGCATATTGTGCATCTGTTGAGGAAAAAAGCCAAGCAGGGTACAGCTGTTTACTTAAGGCAGTGATGAAGTGCAGGGTATACAGAGCATACCCACTTATGTTTCATTCTCTACAGGGTATACCCACTTCTCAATACCCTCTGTTTCACACTATTGATTGAATGACAATATTCAAAAGTGTGCTGTAATGGTTTTCCTTGGATGGTGAAGAGACGGCCCTTTGTCTCTAATTGGTGAGTACCCACTGCCTAAATGCAAGAGTTGTCTTACAGGTCACTGTTTATAAGAGAGGCCATTTATCCACTGCTGGATGGGACACTTACAAAAAACATCTGGGGTAAGAATTAAGAGTACAACTTCTTCAGGCACCACTGTGTTTGAGATACTAAATATTAAAATAGATATTAAATTAGTATCATTTATTATAATTTATTCTACTACTTTCATATCACATTTTTTTTTAAATGAGGGGGTCCAGAATAAAGGAAGCCCCCCCACACCTACGGGCCTGTATCACTAAACAACACTGCCATCTAGCGTCTGAACAGGCTCCTTACGTGTCGAACGTACAAAGTAGGGAGGCTCCCTCTGACGTCATCACGCTTACCCTGACGTCGTTGGACTCTGGGACGCTCTCTGGACTGCACCGGCGGGGAAGTTAGCAAGCAAGCTGAGCACAGACTTGAACAAATCACTGTTCATCAGTAAGTTATTCTTTGAATAATTCTGCGTCTTGTTTGTTTATTTGCTTTGTCACACGTTGTTCGGTGCTTTAACTTCACGCTGACACTCGTTTATTGCAGCTAACAACACGCGAGCTAACTTTACTAGCGTTAAGCATGTACGCCAAACTCCGTTTAAAATATCACCATTTTATATTGTTTTAGCTTATAAAATCTATTCAAAGGAGGCTAAGCTCATGATAATACTTCTCATCTATTGTTGAACCTATTACGTACAGTTCGGCAGAGGTAAGCTGAAGAAAAGCATTTTGAATTTATCGTGTTTGATTGTTATTTGTTGTGAACACTGCTGGTTAAGTGTAGCGTTTCTGTTGACCTTATAAAGATAGGAAAGAGTCAGCTGTGGGAAAAGCTAAATTTAAATTAGTTTTGCAAATAATGCTCAACTAAAGTTACTGATTGGTAGCTTTTTTGCTCTGTCCAACAATCAGTGACCAACTTCATGCAACTGTATGGTGTGCAAATGCTCAGTTGTTTAAAGCTTAAAGATTGATTGATCCTGAACTTTGACATTCACACATGAACATATTTAACAGATTTGATTGTTTTTTGTTGTTTACAGACTCCATAGATGTAACATTGTTTTTTTCTACATATATGAAACTGTTTTGTGGTGTTCAATGTCAGATATTCTGCCATGACACTAAACAGAAACCAGGTGTGCGCTGATCCCACGTTGAAATGCTTCACCTTTGAACCTGAGATAACCGACATGTGGATAACTGTTACGTGGCACTGTTTGAAGGCTGAATCTGGCACTTAACTGACTGTTTCTTTCACTGCAGCTGTGTTTTAAATGTCTGCTGACAAACTGAGCATTTGTTTATCGTCTCAAAAACAAGGCCACTGTGAACACCGCTGCTACCAACATCAAAACCATCCAGGTTGCAGGCAGCAGCTCTACTTCTCTCCCCAACGATCTCAACTCATTCTACACCAGATTCGAGAAGGACAACACCACACAGCTGGAAGGAACAGTGTCCATGCTCAAGCCCAGTGACTCTGCACTCGCCTTCAGCAGAGAGGATGTGGTGAGAGCCCTCAGGAGGACAAAGGAGAGCAGCTCACCTGGTCCAGACAAAATCAGTGGCCGCATCCTGAAGCACTGTGCCGAGCAGCTAGGGGGCGTGTTTCAGACCCTGTTCCAGAGCTCTATGGACAGCAGCACAGTCCCCCAGCTGTGGAAACACTCCACAGTTATCCCCATCCCCAAGAAAAGCCCCGCCAAATCACTGAATGACCTCAGGCCTGTGGCCCTCACGTATCGGCTGACAAACTTTCAACTTGCTTCCATCTGAACGACCAGCTTATCCTGTGGATCTTGGATTTTCTGACCAACAGATCACAGAGAGTTCTGGTCAACAAAAACCTTCTCCAACCTCCAACACACCTCAACTGGCTCCCCTCAGGGCTGTGTGCTCTCACCCTCTGCTCTTCATCCTCTACACCGATGACTGCAGAACCACACAGCCAAACTGTCACCTGGTGAAGTACGCAGACGACACAGTTCTCCTGTCTCTGCTGTCAGGCCCCTCTCAGCACCATGGACCAGTTCTTCAGGAGTTTGTGGAGTGGTGTGACAGTTCCTGCCTCGAACTGAACGTGAGCAAGACCAAAGACATGGTGGTGACTGTCTCCAACAAGCAGGGGGAACTGGCTGCAGCTACAATCACCACAATCCATGGGAAGCCTGTCAAACTAGTAGAGGAGTATAAGTACCTGGGTACCATCTTCGACAGCCTGCTGAAATTCTTCTCCAACACCGAGGAGATTCTCAGGAAATGTCAGCAGCAAAAATACCTCCTAAGGAAGCTCAATTCCTTTGGAGTCAGTAAGAACATTCTCCAGTAAGATCATTGGACTACCTGTAAGGACTCTGACATCCATCTATTAGCAACAGACACTCAGGCTAGCAGGTTGGATTATGCAGGACCCCTCACACGCTCTCTTCCCAGCGTTTGAGTGGCTCCCCCTCAGGACGCCGGCTTCGCTGTCCCTGCTGTAGGACTGCAGCTGTGAACTTTGCTGTTGTACTTCCTTTCTATTTGCCATGCACCTTAACTGCCTCTGCTTTATCTGGTCTCATGCACTACATCACTTTATTCTATCCATTTTATATCAGTATTCATACAGTTCTGGTTACTTATTCCTGTTGTTTCTTATCCATCATTGCACTACGGTCACTTTATTTATCTCATATTTACCTTTATAGTTATATTGTCTATATTAGTTCTGTTGTTCCATTATTCACCATGCACCTTAATAACTTATCATTTAGTATTTGCCTACTTGCACATAGCTCTGTATATATATATATATATATATATATATATTTATTTATTTCTCGTTTACTGTATAGTTCTGTTTACATCTGTTAGTCCGATCACTGTCCACTTATATCTACTCTTTTATATTTTGTATTTTAAGTTAAGTTTAAGCTTTAAGTTGTATTTAAATTGACACTTTATATTTAGGTTAAAATGTTTCGTCTACCTGCACTGTTGTTAATTTACTGCTCTGTGTGCCTTTGAATTGCCCCCCGGGGACAAATAAAGTTTTTTGAATTGAATTGTCTTGGAACTGACTAAAGAGAATGGGTACCGTTAGTTTTAGACGCCTTTTGTCTGTAACTAATGTTAATTAATGTACTTTTATTGTAAAGTGTTACTGAATCATTCTTTTTTTGACAGAAAAAAGTTTCTAAAACGGAATCCAAGTATTAAAAAAAGTTAAGGATTGAAATAATTGCTCATGAACTGTTATCATTCTGCCTCTTCAGATCAGACATGGCGCTCACACAAGTGTCCTCCAACAAGTGCGCTGGTGGTTTCCAGAAGGTGTTCGAACACGAGAGGTGAGCTGAAATCTTTGAGTGTGATGTCAGCGTTTACGCATGCAGCTGTGTGAAGTTCTGAATTAATGTGCGTTTCCTCATTGCAGCACTGAACTCAAGTGTAAAATGAAGTTCGCCGTCTACCTGCCTCCTAAAGCCGAGACAGGCAAATGCCCCGTCTTGTACTGGCTCTCTGGTGAGTGAGCAGCCAATGGGAAAGCTCCACAGCTGTCTACTGAAAGATGCATGAATTAAAGGAGTAACTCTGACGTCCTTTAGAGTCCCCATGAAATGAAACATGTCAAGCCCCGCCCTCCTTAGTTACTGTTACTATGTTAGACATATTCTCTTGTCTCCAGGCTCCTTTAGATCCGAAACAGTTGAAAATACCTCGAGATGACAACTTTTATTTGTATTTAATTGATCTGATTATTTTCTGAGCTCGTCCTCAGTGACAGAATCAGGACAGATATAGGGTCGGGTATATGAGCAGAACTCTAAATCTCAAAAAAAATATGATCCATGTCTGATGCTATGGTCGTCTCAACTCTCCTGACTGACCTCTGGACTCCATCAGTGACCATCTCTGGAGCCAGAGGTCTGAAACATCCTCTAAATGTCTCCAACAGATCCTTCAATACGCAGCTGAGAGTTATGAGCACAATCTGACAATCACAGCGACATCACTGAAAGATAAATGCTACAGATCAGAAACAGAAACCTAAAATTTTCTAAAATTTAGAGTCACTCCTGCAGACACCCTGAGAACCTTTAACCAGGTTTAGTAACTAAATTAAGGTCACAATTTCACTGGGACGCACTGAAGAGACTCGGCCCTGGAGAAAGTTTGGCTAACAGGAAGTAGCCCGGCAACAGTAGATTTAAGAGGGGGCTCTCTGATTGGTGAGTCAGGGGACCTATCAGAGAGCCAACAAAGGGTCAATTAAAAAGCTTTGTCGAGGCTAACGATCAAATTAAATTCATCCCAACATTCCTTATGTCCCGCCCTCTATCTTGTGATTGGTTCTATCCGTCATGTCACAGCAGTTAGACGCCATCAAAGTGACGTTTCATGGAGATTTTAACGACATGAACATGATATGAGATATTTAATTAAAACTGATTTTATGTTTTGATGAGATTTGACAAAATAATTTCGCTCTGACAAAGACGGATAGATTTAAGCGCCTTTAATGAGCTGATGTGTGAGTGACGTTTTGGTCATGGTCCCTTTTCACCCGGCGTTTCTCTGCAGGTCTGACGTGTACGGAGCAGAACTTCATCACCAAAGCCGGCGGTCAGCTTCCAGCCGCAGAGCACGGCATCATCATCGTCGCCCCCGACACCAGCCCACGTAGGGACTCAATCACAAACACACTCTTCTGTGACTAAAGCTGTCATATAAACTCCGCCCTTTCACCCTTTCCCCCTTTCCCATCATGCATCAGGTGGCTGTAACATCGAAGGGGAGGATGAGAACTGGGATTTCGGCACTGGAGCCGGTTTCTACGTGGACGCCACCGAGGATCCTTGGAAGACCAACTACCGCATGTACTCGTACATCACCGAGGAGGTGCGTTTGATTTCACCTTTGATTTCACCTTCAGCTGATTTCTTGTTGTTAATAATCTCTTTCTCCTTTTTCAGCTCCCAAAACTGATCAACGCTAACTTCTCCACCAACCCCGACAGGATGTCCATCAGCGGTCACTCCATGGGCGGCCACGGGGCGCTTGTCTGTGCCCTGAAGAACCCTGGGAAGTACAAGGTACGGCATGTGACACGGGTCTAAAAACACTCCATGCACGCTTAGGTAGTTAGAAACATAAATATTCTCTCTTTCAATCTGAAATAAACGAGCAGAAACGTGCTCAAACTAGGATCAATATTGGAGATGCTTTTGAAAAATGGAGAGAGGTTAGAACACAGAAAGGTTTACAGACCGATGCAGAGCTGGATAAACACTGAAGCTTCAGTGTCCACCACATGGCAACCTGCATGAGCATCGACTTTAGAGAGGAGGGGGCGGGGGGAGACAACTCTCTACAATGTTTAGAATCTGATCTGCAGTACCCATTTTAAACACTAGGTGTCACAGTTACATGTTGCTCCTTTAAGAAACGACAATGAACATAATCAAACATGACATCAGGGTGGCTTCATGAACACGTGATATCTTTAAGTGTTGAAGACTTTGACAGCCTGACATAAAAACAGTAACGATGTCTTTTCCTTCAGGCCGTGTCTGCATTCGCTCCCATCTGTAACCCGATGCAGTGTCCATGGGGACAGAAGGCGTTCTCGGGATACCTGGGCTCTGACAGGTCCACGTGGGAGGTAAGATCTGCAGCCTGCTGTCCTCTTGATAACTGTCATCATCATGTCGCTGTGATAGTTATACTCGTATGAGAAATGTGCTCCTGTCCTCCTCTTCACTTCTGTGAGACGTGTCATCTGCAGGAAGCTCGACACACTAAAGCTGGATTCTTTACAGACATTGACATTGAACCTTGAACCATTGAACGTTAACTGACGGCTAAAGAAAGCTAAGTGAGACGCGCCGCAGTGATGCAAACCATCAGCTTGTAAGAACGTTAAACCTTATGGTCACCCCGTTTGATGGAATATGAAGATGTTGTTTTTTTTGTCCGTTTATTATCGTCTATAACTTGCTCATCGTACTTCCTGCAGTCATAAACCTTACAGCAGCTCGGAATCAGATCATTGTGTCGGACTGAGTAGAATAATCCGATTTTAGAGTTTAGTCTGTCGAACAACTCATGGCGCTGCACAAGTTCAATTCAGCCAAAGAGACGCATCACCCAGCTGGTCTCCAATACAGGAGTCAGCTCCATAATAAGGTTTATAACTTGACTCCTTCGGATGATCCTCCAACAACCTCCCCTCCTCTCCCCTCCCGGCCCCCCCTCTCCTCTCGTGTCCTCTAATGTCCTTCTCTCCTCTCCTTGCCTCGCCTCCTCTCCTCCTCTCCTCTCTTTCAGGCGTACGATGCCACCGTGTTGGCGGCGTCCTATTCGGGCCCTCAGCTCGACATCCTGATCGATCAGGGTCGTGACGATCAGTTCCTGTCCGCCAGTCAGCTGCTGCCCGACAACCTGATCGCTGTCTGCTCCGAGAAGAAGATCCCTGTCGTCTTCAGGCTGCAGCCGGTCAGTTCCTTTAGACTTTCAAAGCACTCAAAAGCACTCAGTTCACACGATATGGAAAACACCTGCACGTACCATCAAAATAACACCTAACAGAGAAGACGTGGTTATAATCCTCCTTCAAAATGACATAAGTCTTTACAAACATTGATCTTAAATAATAATTCTTTAATGTTTAAGTTATAAACCCAATCCTCTTGAATGTGAAGGTTTAAATCCCACCTTCATTTTCTCAGAGCTCAGGAAGCTGTTTATAATGTCACAGCGCCATCTTGTGGCCACATTAGTGAGGTGCAGGGAAACCTTCAGCCTCTGAATTAGTTTAAATATTAATTTATTCTCACTAGAGTTAAATCATTTGGAAGATGAAGACATAAATAAATGAAAATGTTATTTACATTTTTGGAAAAAAGTGCTGATGCACTTTGGGAGTTGTAGTTTTTATATTCCGTGGTACGAAAACAGGCAACGGTGACATTAGAGTTTGACTAGAATCATATCAAAGTTTAAATTGCTCGTATCGTGACGACCATCGTATTTTCACTAACATCGATTTTTTTTTTTCGTCCTGCAGGGTTACGACCACAGCTACTTCTTCATCTACTCCTTCATGGCCGACCACATCAAGCATCACGCCAAGTTCCTCAACGCCTGAACCCGGCTGTTCACCTGAGGGTTCACACACATACCTGAGCCGGCTTCACCTCGCTCCCGCTGCAGGACTGGCAGTAACAACATCCGCTTTGTTCTCTGGTAACAAACTCAACAAAACGATAATTCAGACGTCTGAAATCTTAAACGGCACTTAACCTGGAGTCTCCGAAAACGACAAGAAACTCTTTTTTTATCACGATGTAATATCATTTAAACTCCGGATCGAGACAGTGTTTCTTTATTATGAATGAGCACTCTCCTGCACACGGACAGACATGATGAGCTGAGCAGTCCCAGCTGTGTTTGAAAATAAAATCCTTCTTTCATTTCACTGTTTTGTTCTTATTGAAGTTCACTGACGGCGAGCAGAAAAACATCACGCAACAGTAAACGTAAAGCCGGCTGGAGTCGATGTCAGCTGTCATTGGTTGAGAGGCGGGGTTACACCCTGGACTGTTCACCAGTCAATCACAGGGCTGACATATAGAGAAAAACAATCAGACACACTGACTCAAATTCACACCTACGACAATTTAGAGTCATCAGTTAACCTAACGAGCATGTCTTTGGACTGTGGGAGGAAGCCAGAGTACTTGTAGAGAACCCACACATGCACGGGGAGAACATGCACTCCACACAGAGAGGCTCCTGTCAGACGGGGATTCAAACCAGGAACCTCCTCACTGTGAGGGCACAGCGCTAACCACTGCATCCCTCAAAATAAAAATGAGAGCAGTAAAATAATCGTATTGACATCTCACTCTTGAGGATCATTTTGACAAATCTGTCCTAGAATCATCTCCTGTGAATCCGCCTGAAACAGAGAATGATAACTTACAGAAAGGAGAAGAGAAAGTGAGGTAACCCCCCAATTTCCCAAAACGGACTACAACATCCTCAAAAACATAAACTCCTGTAAGGTAGACTCTCGTTGTTTCAAGTGAAGTGGCATAATTCTCAAGTTATTAAATATTTAGAAAGCATGAAATGATGATGAAGCTCTTCTCTTTTCAGGGCTGTTTGAAAATGAAATGACAACTCAGTTTTTAAAGCATGAATTTAAGAATAATAGAGTGAAACAAACACAAAGCTCACAGAAACACAGAGAAAAACTGATGGAAGAAGATTTAATGAGTGTGTGAGTGCTGCTCTTCACCACTGGGGGTCACTCTTCTACCTCGCTGTGTTTCCTGGGACGTCTGCGCACACGAGGAAGAGGTGAGTCTTCTGGCTTTGACATCTGGGTTCTTAGTTTCAGTTTAGCATCTAGTTCCAGAAACTCTTACATTTACCTTAAGAGGAAGCATCAACATTTCTTGAACCGAGTATGTGTTCTGAGGAAGGTCACAATAAGAGCATTAAATATGAGTGGAAAAAGAGTTGGAGGAAAGGAGGAAAAAAGCTGTGTGGTTAAAAGGATTAAAAATAAAGAAAGCGATGTCTGGATCTTTTTTTTTTTTTAAATCCCTGTTTGAAGTTATTTATGAAGCTAAACCTCCTTTAATGACTTTATCTGAGGGCAGACCTTTTTGTGTTGACCTTTTAAACTCGGCCCGGCTCTGTGCCGCCACGTGGTCGCTAACGTTTGACATTTCAGACTCAGACTGTGACTAACTGGAGCGAAACATTCGGAGCAGACTTCATCATCATTATCATCACTTCAGGTAAGATAAATATCTTTATAGTTATACTTTCAGTGTTCACCAAACACACCTGATTGGATGTTTAATTATTATTTTTCTTGATTCATTGCATCTTAAACATGCACAGTGAGACCCTGATGTTCATGTTACCCAATTAAACTCCTGCAGAGAGCTGTCCCCAGCCAGCTCTGCATCGGTCTGTAAACCTTTCTGCGTTCTAACCGCTCTCCATTTTTCAAAAGCATCTCTAATATTGATCCTAGTTTGAGCACGTTTCTGCTCGTGGAGCTTATTAGAAACATGTAGAGGCTTTTTAGGTCGGGTACAATCACTTCTATCTGAACCAGTTCTCTTGCCCGCTTCCATCGCTGCAACACCTGTTGGTTTGACCTGATAACTGCTCTCATATCTGGCAAACCGAAGGGTGTCCAAAACGGCCGTGTGGGGCTGCCTTAAAACCGCCTACCCTCTCTGTTCCAAATAAATCCAGAGCATTCAGGACCAGAATCTAAAGTTAGAAGGAGGACATACTGGCTGCTGCATTGTTGTTAGAGAAGCCAGCACTTCAACATAGCATGTTTCTTAATGTCTGATCATATAGTAAGTACCTTTATCATTTCAGCCACTACACATCTCACTGATTGGTCCTAAAGTATGGATCTTTCAGTGTGTGTGGATTTTGGCGCCCCCCTGTGGACGGAGTGTGCAGCATTGTAGAGCACAGCTAGTCCAGATGATGAGATCTTTGAAAGTGTAACTGGATCAGGTCGAGCCAATTTAGATTTTCTTTGGGAAAATGTACAGAAGGATCAAAACGTGGAGATGTGGAGGATTTGAATCCATGCCATGGAGAGTTTCTAATCCTCTCGTAGAAGGTAAGATGACTTAATAAAGGTCATACGGGTAAAAATGAGGCTGGTGGAGTTTGTGGTGACCCTGAAATTTATCAAAAGGTAAGAAATCATGTTCCCAGATTCTCAGACTGATTTCTACAATGTTAGTTATTGTTCACTGTAAACGAGACATATTACATAACGCTGACCTTTAACCTTTGCCCTTTCTCATGAAAAGCCTCCTGAGTGTGGAGCTGCAGGCCGCTCTGCTCTCACAGTAATCTGCATGTTAATCATGAGCCCGAGGCCGAACGTTTTCATGGAGCAGGACTGTGAGGTTGTGGTCCACTGACCCACTGTGACTCTCTGAGGAGCTGAAATTAAAGGTGACGAGTTCCACCCCCTCTCTCTAAGGCTGAGCACAGACACCCTCCAGAGGAAACTGTACCACTGTATCCGCGATTGCATTCTTTCAGTCATGACCCAAAGCTCATGTCCACAGCTGAGGGTCGGAGCAAAGATCGACCGGTAAATGGAGATCGGCTTTGACTTCAGGCTCAGCTCCCTCTTCACCACAACGGTTCGGTACAACGCCCGCCGACGCTGAGTCAATTCGCCTGTCAATCTCACGGTCCATCTTACCCTCACTGTGAACAAGACTCCGAATACTTAAACTCCTTCAGGCCGTGACTCCCTCCCCACCCGTAGGGCGCTGTCCGTTGTTTTCAGGCAGCTATCATGGCCTCAGACTTTGAGGATCACATGACATTGAACGAGCAGAAATGTTCAGGGACACATCAGAAGTTTAAAGTTTTGACTGCTTTGACCTCGTCTCTGTGGATCAAACTGATCCTGGATGGACGTAAATATCTCAAAGACTCGATCTAACCCCGACTCAGACTGTGGCTTTGTTAGCTGCTCAGTTTGTACAGATGAAAGGAAACATAATTTAAAGAGAGTCCTAACAGAGATTCAGATTACAGAGCTCCCCGCAGGCGGTCACTGATTCAGCTGACTCATGCTTCTCTCTTTATCTGTGCACACAAACATTCCTTTTTACCTCCGTCTTTATTTTTCTTTAATACCCTTAACTGAACAGTTTTACCTCCAGGCATCATTTGTCTCTCCATATCTAACCACATGCCCTCTCATGCACTCACAGCTATTACATCGGAGGCTTAAGTTGACCGAGGGAATTTATTTATTCATGTTTGTCTGCAGCGACCTTCCTCGCAGTCACATCTAATGTTAAACCGCACTGAAGGCGCGCCTGGCTGCCGGGCGGCTGCAGTCAGAACACGCTGTACAAACTGTTTGTGATCTGCTCAGAAAAAACATCGAGGTAATTAAAATACTGTAACAACACAGACGTTTATGTGGTCATTAGAAGGCGGGTGAAACCGTGGTCACGTATATGATGACATACACAAATAGACACGCTGAAGATGAAGAATCTGTTTACACAGGACCAGACTTTGGTATGAGAAGTTTGTAGTTCAAGTGTCGTTGACCAATCAGGTAGCAGCAGGCTTTGGCGTTTGCAGGTAAAACAGTCCGTATGGAGAGCAAAATCAGGCGGAACACAAACCATTGTTAACGACCCCCGTCTCCCATCGGCGGTTATCTGACGATGATTTGTTAATCTCTATAAACAGACATATGTACATAAAAGTGGCTCACAGATCGACTTTGATGTGAGCAACACGTCTAAAAAAAGTCACTCAGAGTGGAGATTTCCTGACTTCCTTGAATGCATCAGAAATGATCGATCCAACCTCCATTCAACAAACATACAGTTTGTAAACTCCACCACCAGGGGGCTCTTAATCAAAACAATACCAAAGATGACGTAGAGGCTGGCGGGGGAATCATGGGAGTTCTCTCTGCTAATGAAAATGACCTCCGCGTTGACCGTAGTCAAGACGACCGGTTGAAACCGACCTGAGGAAGAGAATATGTTTACAGACAGCTAAAGTATCTGAGTATAATTTTCATGATGTTTTTATCACAGCATCAAAAACAGCAACAGGACGGCAGCTTTCAGTTGCAGCTCACGCTTACTGATGCAGCGGTCTGTGATGTAACATCCAGTGTTTCCACAGCAACCATAAACATTTTATGTCTGTCATGGTGGCTGCCGCAACAAGACACGTCCTGTTACAACTATGAATTTACAGATTTCTTTGGCTTTGATAACTGTTAGGTCATGAAGGCTAAGTACTTATATGTAACATAGACTTAGTCCATTTTTTATTCATTTAGATTTTTTTAAATGTAATTTAATTTTTATTTTATTACTATTTTTTATTTATTTATTCTATTTTTTTTATCGTTTGTTGGGTCTCGTTATCGTCGCAATGGATTGTGGGATGTGTAGTTCCTTAGCTTCCAGAAAACTTCATCTCCACAATTGAGTACTTTTGCCTTTTTCTTTGTTTTCCAGTTGTGTTTTCTTTTTCGTGCCGAATCAAAAGTTTAATAGTTGGTAGTATTCTCGTAGTTGTTTTGATTCCAGGATTTAAATATTGAAACTATTTGAGCGTTTGAGGATTTGAGCGTTGGAATGTACAACTGGAACCAGAGATGCTGAAAAAGCAGGCGGTCCCCGTACAAACTGTGTGTTGGATCTCTCCCTGTCTTTAAAAATGATGAGCATGAAGAAGGATTTTAAACACTTAAATGATCAGATCCAAACTGACTCACCAAAGGCAGACACACACAAACACACACACACACACACACAGACACACACACACACACACACACACACACACACACACACACACACACACACACACACACACACACACACACACACACACACACACACACACACACACACACACACACACACTCACTCACTCTTCAAAGAGCTGTCCTCTGGCATGTGACCGTGTTTGATGTCTTGACGTTTCGCAGCTTCGGCCCGCAGCGTGTCACGCTGCCTGGACGAATGTGTCAAACTGACATTTATGAAGAAGTTGAGTGAGAGGCGGTTTGTTGGCGTTCGGCTGCTGGTCATGTTCAGAGTGTCTGAGATTACTGTTCCACCAAACCGCCTTAAGTGCCCTTCAGCTTCAGAACAGAAGCGGTCACAGTGGACTGTAGTTTGAGTCAGCGGTGACCCGGAGCTCAGATTGACGAGTCCAAGTCCTCCGCACTAAATGATCAAATATGTCATTTGTCTTTGGCCTTTAAATGACTCATATTACTCCGTCTTCTGATCCGACACCTCTGAACACAACACTTTCAGCTGTTGTCTCTTTAAGTCAGCAGAACGCTGCAGGGCTGTCAGGGGAGGGCTGCTCTCCAGGTCTAGCAAAAGAGAGTCTATGTGAGAGGTTTCAGAGGCTTACGTAGAGGCTTGAATTGAAGCCGTCTGGTGAAATTCTTGGTTTCATATCGGGGGAACTATGCCGTGATTAGAACAAGCCGTTTAGCGCCCTCTGCAGACTCATCCTCGGATTACTCCAACATACGTTTACCTCATGATCTGAAACTTTGCCCACATTTAGTTTGAACATCCAGCATTGTAACACTATATGAGTTTATAAATTAAGATCAGCAGAAGAGGTCGACTTTGAGCATCCTGTGCTATCAAACCTCAAAGACATCTGGACCTGCACAAACAAAGGTCCAGAATCAAGTTATTTGCGTCGTTACATTTGGTGATGAAATGAAGGGAATGTGTTTTAACGCAGTATGAGAATCTGTTCGAGAATCTTCAGAGGAGACGCACAGATTGTTACTGAATCAATGCCGTCTTTAGCCGTCCCTGAGCCCGGGTTTTACACGGAGAAAACTTCAAATGTGTCAAATGTGTCTTTACTGAATCACACACTGAATATGCATGACTCAGTCTTTAAGAAATCCAGCTGTGAGTGAGTCTGTTTTATTGCATCTTTTCCTGCAAATCAACAAGGACGCGGATCGCCAACAGAGCAGATTTCATTTCAGCCCATCAGGGAGTGAGGTGACACCATGGGGGCTCTGCAGCTTCTGTTTGTTCGTGTGTGTGTGTTCACTTTTCTGTAGGGATTGTGTTTGTGTGTTCTCATGTGTGTGTCTGGCACTCATCTGCAGGGTGGTGGTGGGGGGGGGTGAGGTGGAGGAAGAGATGTGGGCTCCTTAAAATCGACATGGGAGCTTTGTTAGCTGCTAGCTTAGCGCTCTGAGCTGAGGGGATCTGAAGGAGGTTAAAGCGTAGATGTGTGGAGATAAGGATTAGCTGATCCTGACAACAGAAGGCAGCTCGTGTCTCTGATCAGATCAGAGGAACAGGAGGGTGGGACCCCGCCAACTTTTGGATGACTTTGACTGTAGGGGGTCTGCTTCTGGGGGTGGTGGAGTGGGGCCGGGAGGGGTCTGTGGTGTCCGACCCCTGAGCTTGAATTAATCTGAAACCAGAGGCCCGATGATGTAAGATGTGTCAGGAATCCAGCCAGTGTATGACAGATACACACAAAGGGATTTCCTCCCTGTGCAGGCCAGCTCCCAGCATGCATTTGGCCGCCAGTGAAGTGAAGCTACGTGCTCGAGTCGGACTGAACAAACTTTCCAGCAGTCTGTGATCATCGTCTCAGGGTCACAGGAAACTCCTGCTGCTAACATGAGCTACTGTAACTCATTTAAGACCAAGTGTGAAAGACTGCAGTTCTTCGAGTGTCCACTGGAGGCTGACTTTGAAAGTGAGTCATCCCCATAGAGCCCCGTGTTAAACTGTCCATCTTTACAGCAGAAATAAACATGTTTACAGCCGGGTTTAAAAATACACTCAATATACAAAATACACTGCAATGATGCGTCGGGAAACAAAGATCACACATGACTACAAATCTTCTCCTTCCTCCATGTGTGTGAATGAGATTGTCATCACTGTGAGAATGTGTCGGTGTGACCCTAATGGACAAAGCATGAGTGACGCACCCGTCTGTTCCTGTAGGGGAGCGCTTTAGTTCCATCGATGGTGGTCTCCATCCTGGAAATCCTGTCTCAGCCTAACTTTCAGTTAACCTAACGACAGGCTGAGAGCTGGAGCTGAGGCGGGTTTTAAGCCTCCTGACAAACCGTTACACCGCGCCCACCTGTCAATCAGGTCAGCTACACGCCTTATTGTGAATAACTCTTATCCTTCATCAAATCATTGTTCCTTAGAAATAGCCTTCCATGCCAAACACAGTGTGCTGCGATGCCTGGGTTTAAACAATTGCTGCTTTTTAGTTATTTACTCGAGTTATTCATGGAAGCATTTCAGCCCTAATTTATTCTAAAGTGAGTTATGAGTGAGTGACTCTGCTTTCCCTTTAAAGCTCTGAGTTTAAACCTGGCTGAAGCAGATTTAACATCTTACACCTGCACAGAGTTTGTGCTGGTAAAATAAGAGGCTCTGAATCTTTCTATGTTCACAGTTCAGCTCAGATCTCTCGGCTCTCTCTGCTCTCACACACTGTTGAACAGCTTTTATTATTTGCATTCTGTCAATCTTTTTCAGAGAATGTTGAGCATTGTCTCTGTCTTTCTTTTGCACTACATACAGATGTTTTCAGATTTATTTAAGAGGTTATTTTGTGGTTATTTATCTGTCTCATCCAGTTTCCTGATGTAGTTTCCGTCTTCATTAATGCTTTGTGTAATAAGTCCTAAAGCATCTGAGTCTCTTTAACTTTTAGATCACAACTTTTCTATTAGTAGGCTACAAATAAAAAGCTTCTGAATTAATCCCCCCCCCCCCCCTTCTTCTCCTCCTCCTCAGACATAATCAGCATGAGTGTGGTGTTGTTAAAGGAGGGGATATTAGAGGAAACGTCTCAAAGTGTCATAATGCTTCCTGATCTGTTCCTGTGAGGCAGCGCTCCGGGGTTTATCATTCATACATAAAGATTGCATGATTATTGTTCACTCTTAATCCAAATTGCAACAGGCTTTGCCCCTCCACTTGTTACGTCACAGCAGCTCTGTGGGTGCAGACGGACTAAAAGCCGCTCGGAGACCCGCCGCGTGCCAACACGAATCTCTGCGCTGTCATCCTCGTGAAGCCGAGAGAGAGAGAGTGACATCGGGAGAGAGAGAGAAAGAGAGAGAGAGAGAGAGAGAGAAAGAGACAGAAGTGACCGCTGCAGGGCGCACTGAGCTCCGGGGTCTCTGTCTGTCCTGTCTGTCCTCTCACCCCTCCATCCCTCCCTCTCTCTGGGTTTAAGACAACCTGCTCCGCTCGCTTCTCTTTCCGCGGCGTCTCCACGCGCGCTCTCCACCTTCACCATTACGTCCCAAAGTAAAACGGACTTTTTAGCGCTCGCGTCCCGGACTCTCCACAGGAAGAGGATCGTCGCCGCGGTGGTAGGTATCGTCATGGTTCTAGCTCTGATAATCGCGATTCCCCTGCTGGTCCAAACCTCCAAAACGGACGCGCACTATGAGATGATGGGCACGTGCCGGATGATCTGTGACCCGTACAGCCCCAAACCGAGCGCCACGGCTCTGGAGGTCATGCAGGACCTGAGCGCCATTCCGTCCCCGAGCTATGTCACAGGGAATAAAGGAGAGCCTGGCCGCCCGGGAAAACCCGGGCCGAGGGGGCCACCGGGCGTACCGGGGCCGCCCGGACCGAGAGGGCCACCTGGGGATAGAGGGGACACCGGGAAGAACGGATATCCCGGGTTAGGAGGCACCGCGCGCTCAGAGACCGACGGAGACCCGGGCTCGATCATCGGTGGGTCAAAGATCGCCTTCTACGTGGGTCTGAAGAACCCGCACGAGGGATACGAGGTGCTCCGGTTTGATGACGTCGTCACGAACCTGGGTAACCACTACGACCCCACGACCGGAAAGTTCACGTGCCAGGTGTCCGGGATTTACTACTTCACCTACCACGTGCTGATGCGCGGCGGGGACGGGACCAGCATGTGGGCTGACCTGTGCAAGAACGGACAGGTGAGAGACGTGCACGCGCTGATTCACCTTCATGCTGCCTGTTTATTCAACATGAAAGTTTTTTTTAACAGTTAAATTTCTGGGAAAAAAAAGCTGCAACACAGCATCAAAACATTTCAATCATGTGATAATCAGAACAAATATAAAAACATTTTTAAAGTCCCTTTTCTGTTTAAATCGAGATCATTGTGTTAAATCCACAAACCCGCTGCAGCTGCGTCCCTCTCCTTCATGATGACACATCAGCTGTGATACTTTAATCAGGAGCCGTGACTCTAAACACGAACTGATTGAACTAAGAGAATACATTTAGTCCATGTTTCTTGCAGAGTGGGTTCATGAGGAACACAAATATAATGTAACATACAAACATAATACTTGTGTTCCAAATGAGAGATGTGCAGGAATGTGCCAGAAGTAAAAGTGTGACTGACAGAAACAATGCGTAAAGTACAGAGACGAGATTCCAGTGTGTTTGAATGTGACGCATACTGTAAGAAGTGGGATCAGAGGAACCCATCGCATCATTTTAATTATGGTCTAAATCAAGGAGCCGAAGTGTAACAGGTTCCACTTTCTTTCCCCTCCAACCCCCAAAGAGAAGCTTTAAGCACATCAATCCTGATTCTGTTATTTGTTCATGTGTTTATCTTTGTGTTGGCTCCGTCCTGGATTCTCTCTGTCACATAAATATCAGGGATGTTATTGTCTGAGTGACTTTTACGCACACTCCTCCTGCTCGCTCTCTGCTGCTGCGCGCGTAGCTCTTTACTGCGAGAGAGGGAAAGGAGGGGCTGGAGTTGGAAGGGGCATGTTGACATCTTCTTCTTCTGCTGCTGCTGCTGCTGCTCTTTGGTTTATTTAAGTTTTCTGTCCTCCATGTCCCTCCATGTCCCTCCAGGTCCGAGCCAGCGCCATCGCGCAGGACGCGGACCAGAACTACGACTACGCCAGTAACAGCGTGGTGCTGCACCTGGACTCCGGGGATGAGATCTACGTCAAACTGGACGGAGGGAAGGCGCACGGCGGGAACAACAACAAGTACAGCACGTTTTCCGGTTTCCTTTTATACCCGGACTAAATATTCACGGGATAAATATTTACGCCACACCCACACCTCTGTAATATCTCCACTTCTGATCAGGAGGAAGATGCCAAAACAGTCCTCTTTTCTCCGTCTTTGAACGCATCTTTTCTTCCATAGAGTATGGATTATTTCTGGATTCTATAATCCCACGTATTCCGCAATAGTCTCACGTGCTTGGCTGATTGTTTACGCAGAAACAAAAGACTCATCCCTTGTTGGAAAATTAGCGAACATACATTAGAAGCTTTTTTCAGAATCATCATAAGCGCCCTGGCTGTATTGGGACTGTGTTCTGGATAAACTGGCTCCACATGAAGGAAGCTCCACAGTCTGTTGTTGCGTCTCCTCTTTGAGGATGTTTGAGGCTGAAACTGAACTGAAAGGCCTCCATGCTCCCCTGCTGTATTCAGAGGATATTACTGTGTGATGTGATACATAAAGATATATCCTGTAAAGTCTGAACATATGTATTTATGCACTTCTGTATTTCAAAAGAGAGTCAGTGAACCCGTATATAAGCTACAGTTAACTGCCCATCCAGTGTTGCAAAAATGTCTTTCTATGTCCTCAGTCTATATGTGGATCAATACTTTCAATAAATGAGTATGTTTTGTACGATGGCGTCTGATGTCAGGTGGAGTCGGAGTGAAGGCGAGTGTTTCCTGAGGAGGAGGAGGAGGAGGAGGAGAGATGTGAGGCTGCAGCAGGAGCAGCTAATAGATTTTTACAAAAGAGCCACGGGCAAATCTCTCTGCAGAAAATGTAATTTCACACATTTTTTTGAACCTCTGACGCTTCACTTTTATAATCAGGTGTGACGTCCAGGTGACATGTATTAAAGTGAAGTCTCTGCAGTCTGCAGTTTAAGCGTTACAGACCGTTTCTTTAATAGCTCGTCATGACTGCACACTGCTCTCACACTGTGCAGGCTTCAGTGAGAGGCCTGAGCTAAGCTACACTTTAGACAACAAACCATCAATGACGGCCGACGATTACACACAGGAGAAGTCCGGTTTTGAGAATTATTGTTGATCCAATCGAATGTTTCCCTCTTTGTCTCCGTAAAGAAACAAAAACATCCAGCCTAGAAGGCGCTGAGCCGACTCTGGAGCCCGTCTGAGCACGTCCATGAGCACTTCTACTTTCATAATTTTTGCTGATAACTCTTCTGTAGCGTCTTTGATTGGACTGGAGGTGAGCCGCGTGTTTGTGTGTGAGACAGACAACTGTCCGTGTGTTTGCAGTGATCCATTCGTCCTCTGATAGATGGAGAGACGATGTTTGCTGCTTTACCAGAGTCTCATTATTTAAGTCAACATATGAGCATGTCACACTCGTTCAGAACAAACGTCCTCGTTCAAAACCCCCAGAGACACCTGCAGCATGCTAAAGACCCACTTAAGATCTTTAAGGCATGGAGCGTCACATCCTGCAGGTAAACACACGTTATCTATCCAGCTGCAGCATGTTTGTGAGGCTTTCAGGGGTTAATCCTGTTAAACACGCTAACATCAGCCTCTTCACTCAGAGAGAAGAGCCCACAGAAAACACGTCTCTCACTCTCAATCATGCAGGCTCGTCCGTCTCCTGTCCAATGAAGAGGACCTCTAATGAGTCTGATGTGATGAAATGTTAATGCTGTTTAGTCCAGATGTTTTTGAAACGTTAGCTCCTGAGAGGTTAAGGTTATGAATGTGTTGTAAAAAGAGGTGACACATCTTACCACTGTTATCATAAGGATGATTGTAACTCTGACACCTAGTGTTAAAAATGGGTACTGCAGTCTAAATTCTAAACATTGTAGAGAGCTGTCTCCCCCCGCCCCCTCCTCTCTAGAGTCGATGCTCACGCAGGTTAACCATGTGGTGGACACTGAAGCTTCAGTGTTTATCCAGCTCTTCATTGGTCTGTAAACCTTTCTGTGTTCTAACCTCTCTCCATTTTTCAAAAGCATTTCCAATATTGATCCTAGTTTGAGCACGTTTCTGCTCGTGGAGCTTATTAGAAACATGCAGAGGCTTTTTAGGTCGGGTACAATCACTTCTATCTGAACCAGTTCTCTTGCCCGCTTCCATCACTGCAACACCTGTTGGTTTGACCTGATAACTGCTCTCATATCTGGCAAACCGAGGGGCGTCCAAAACGGCCATGTGGGGGTGCCTTAAAACCGCCTACCTTCTCTGGTCCATACAAATCCAGAGCATTCAGGACCAGAATCTAAAGTTAGAAGGAGGACATACTGGCTGCTGCATTGTTGTCAGAGAAGCCAGCACTTCAACATAGCATGTTTCCTTAATGTCTGATCATATAGTAAGGTACCTTTATCATTTCACTCTCTACACATCTTACTGTTTGGACCTTTTAACTTGAATGCATCACCAGAGTTGACGGGCTTCTTTCTTTCTTTACTGATTTATTCAGGATGTTGTAAACCTCAAACTCCAAAAGTAAAAATCTGAGCAAAGAAAAACAAACTCGATGTAAGATGATGAATGTTCACTCTTTAAAAGGCTCTCGACATTTCCCAGCACACTCTCTGAATTACAGGTAAACCCTCTGTGAGCCTCTGAGGCTGAAATGTGCTCGTGTCTGCAGCTGTCAGCCTTCATCAGACCGGCTCGTTTACCGTCACACCTCCTCCATCCCACAATCCTCTCTGCTAAATCAAAGGCAACAGGTTTTTATGGCGCTGCACAAAAAGTGAGCCCAGCGGCGGGGATAAAACATCTATTTGTTGCTCACTCTTTAGCCGGCTGTCAGAGCGAGCGGGGCAGGCAGGTGATGTTTATGTGAGTGATTGACACCTGATGTTCGAGTCCCAATCAAACCACACGCTCTGTGTCACCTCACAAACTAACCAGGGAGCTGCAGGTGAGCATCGCACGCTAACTTGTCCTGACAGGAGGCAACAGTTGGAATGGGTTTGTCTCCGAGGGAGCAAACAGAGGGCCCATCAGGCAACAATTTAAGGCAAACATTTCATTAGAAAGAATCCAACGCGCCCAGGGACAGAGGTTTCGGCGGTGCAGGGAGATTGTGCGGTTAGTTTTCTGTTGTCTCTGTGAATTTGTTCAAACAGGAGGAGCAGAGAAAGGAGGCCACGCTGATCAGCAGGAGAAGGCGACCTCGCCTGCTCTCCGTGTCACTGAGATGACTAACCACACAGTTTCCCTCCCGCCCCATCTGCACAGACGTGTATGTCACTTCCTATCGGCCCCCGGTCAGGGAGGAGGGGGCAATGGAACGAGAGGGTTCACCCATCTGCAGCCTGATGAGCCGCTGTGATGTGAAACCATGAGGCCTTCAGGGAGACGAGTGAAGGAAAGGAAACCAGAGAGGGAGTGTTCTCTGAGATGTTTAAAATAAGAATATTTAAACTGAGTCATTACGATGCTGAGGTAAATTCACTCAAATATTTAACATCAAGTTTCACTTCTTATGTAAAAAGAATTAACAAAAGGTCTGGACGACACTGAAGCCTCTATGAAACCAAATAGATCAGATCAAATAGTTCAGAGCTTTTATTGAAGATGTTAACTGCGGCGATTCAAGAGTCGGTTTGCGCCCAAATTAACAGACTGGGGAAACGGTGTTAATTTCACATCTTCATTGGTACAAATAAGATGCTTTCACACAGACACAGAACTAAAGAAGGGAAAGGAGCCGTAGGCTGGATTCGAACCTGGGTCGGCCGCTTGAAGGACTATAGCCACAAACGCCCCATTATGTTGAACTTCACGTAGCCGGCCATGTCTTTCCTCCTGAGACTCCATCGATATCTAGTTGGTGCTTTATTTGCAGAGGTAGGTCTTAGAGAACTTCTGTAGTCTGGCATGAAGAGTGAATGCACCTGTAAGTCTGAATTTACTCTTTTTATCTCTGTTTTTGGTCTCCACCACCTCCTCAGGGAATGATCCTTCTTCTAGCTGCTAAATGCTTCTAACTGTGTCCATCTGGTTCTCTTGCAGATATTTAAAGAACGCCCTGAATACTTTTGTCCTCATTAGTCAGAGATTCAAGATGAACAAAAGACGTGTGCGTCAACCAATCAGCTCCCTTCACCCATCCCGGTGTTGGATCTGATCCCAGCTGACAAACTCAGTAAATAAAACCAGCGGGACTCTCTTTGTGTGCGGGTGAGTGGAGTTTTGTGTTACCTTGTCTGACCTTGTCTCTTTCCATTTGTGCATCATCTTAAAGCGGGACAGAGATCGTCTGCAGCGCTGCTGTCAAAGAGCTGATAAATAATGGAGAGAGGAAGAATGGGCTCCGGGGAATCAGGACGCCAGTATATGGCTGCAGAGGAGCCATTTTAAATGTGAAAATGTCTGAGCAGGTGTGTGTGCGTATGTGCACGTGAGTGTGTGTGTCACGGAGAGGGAGGAGGGATTTATGGGAGGATTTGTGGATTTCTGTCTGTTCGATAAATTAGAGCAGAGGACGTTCATCCTGCTGGATCTCAGCTTCATGTTTGTGTGTCACATCAGGCTGACGGTTACACACACACACACACACACACATACACACACACACAAAGTTTCTTTATAATTAGCATCGTGCCGTGTGTGATTGGCGTGTCTGCGGGCGGTCTGTGGTACAAGTCGGCCCTGTTGGCAGAGCGGGAGGGGGCATGAAGCACGGGGGTCCACATGCAGAGGTCTGTGGTGTCATGACATTGTGGGAGATTCTCTCCAGGGCTCGTTCATTAACATTGATGTGTTTACAGAACAGACGAGTTAATGCATCGGCCGTAAAGCAAACAACGAACATCAGCTGACGTCGCTAACTTCAAATGACCTCTGTGACCACGACGAAGTGATGAACACAGGTGTTTACATCGTTTAAAATGTGAGGCGACAGATAACGATTCAACACTTTTGATCCTGTAGTCAAAGCTGGGCACGCGTCCGTTAATCCGTCATTGGCGTTAATTAATTTTTTGCAGTTTTATTAATTTTTATTTTTAACGTGATATTCATTTGAAAATCAAGGATCAAAACTTTTTCACTTCCGGTAAATTCTATTTCTGTTAACGTCCAAACCCCTCTCTTACATGGTCAGATGGATTGCAGACGACCTGAGCGAGATCATAGCGCCCCCTGTACTTTATTGAGCTCATTGAATAACGAGGCAGTCTCTTCCTCGCTTTCATCGCAAAGTTCTGTTTGACCTACATGAAGGTCATTTCAGAGCGCCACGGGAGTGAAGACAGCAGAGAGAGATATCAACAAAGATTCTGTTATTTATAGAATTTCAATACGGACACTTTCAGAAATGTTTTGTTTTCATTAGCTATTTGAAATACAAAACAAACCAGATATAACTCCATGATTGACAGCTGTGTTGACGAATGAGGCGCCTGCAGCGCTGCGTGCACGGGTCATTGGAGTGAAGGGGGAATCATGAGAGGAAACATAACGAACACAAGAGTCCCTGAACTCTCCATAACAGCGAGTGTCTGCTTCAAAACTGACACAAAACTCTCATCTGCTGTGGACTGTACCCAGCTGAGTGACCTTTGACCTTTCATCAGGAAGGTTTAGGGTGGGACATCAGCTCCAGCCAGCTCCCTTCTGCACATGTTTTGGCTCCAAACGACTTCACAGGTGTGAGATGTCAGCGACGTCACAGAGAAGTGCCGTCCATT